GAGGAGGAGGAGGAGAGGAAATATTAGGAGGGAGGAGGAGGGGGAGGGAGGAGCGGCTCTGGTGATTGGGCCGTTCCTTGGGCCGTTCCTCTGGTGATTGGGCCGTTCCTGGTGATGTGCATCGTGACGGGCACTTTCTGGCCACATCGCTCGGTAAACGAGATACTACAGGACGGGTGAACTATATGTTCGGGCCGAACGCTCGCCTCCAAGGAGAACATATACCGTGGATGTAAGACATCGGCGCGAAACCAAATCATAACGTTTAAATTCCGCCGTTCAAAGAAAGTGAGAGCAGCCCGGGCCACGACAATCTCGGGCTCAAAAACTCCACTTGCGGTTCGCGCCTATTTTCTTCATCCTCGGTGGCGGCCGCCGATCGTGCCCAGCTTGGACCCCGCGGACCTTGAATGGCGAAGCCCCAACGTTACGCGTCAGCTTCGCGTCCACTGTTCCCATCCATGCATGGTGGTACGAGTATGTCTCTGTGCGCCCCATGGCGAGAGATCGTCGACGTTATGGGCTCCCCCCTAAGGGGGCAAGGAGCACAGCTCAGCTTCCCCAGCGGTGGCTCGTCGGCGAGGCGCCGCTCGGCGAGGCCCGCGCGCTGGCGAGCCTGGCGGCTGAAGCCTGCACGGTGCTGGCGGGTTGCCTGCTGGCCGCGAAGGGGCTGCGCCGCCCGAGCCTCCGCGCATACCACGGCGTCCTGCTCGCGCTCGGGCTCTTTCTCTCTCTCTCTCTCTCTCTCTCTCTCAGAGGAGGAGGAGGAGGAGGAGGAGGAGGAGGAGGGAGGAGGAGGGGGAAGGAGGAGGGAGGAGGAGTATATACATATATATGCTCCTCTCCGCCTTATACTCAATTAGAACATATCTTAGATTGCATGCAATGAACTGTCCGCGTCCGCAGCTATTGCGTAACTGCTTAAACCAACCGACTTCGGCTGGCAGGAGAGAAAAGGAGCGCGCCCGCCTTCGGCCGTCGTGCGTCGTCGGTCGTAGGCCAGCCGGCCTCCTCCCTTCACATTCCTGATAGAGTAGTTTTGCTTAACGGATACTTGTCTTATCTATGGCTCATCCCGCCTCCGCTCTCCCTGTGCAGAGTAATCATGAGATCTTAATTCCTGTGTCATCTTACCCCGATTCTCAGAGGAAAGAATGGTTATCAGCCGAAACGCGCGACTCAGTCGACGCGGGGCCATTAGATACAAAAGAAAATCTTTCAGTCGTGCCCCGCGACTTAGTCGCTGCGGGAGAGAGCTACGGTAAGACCAATATCGTGCCCAATATCTCGAGAAGCGCTGATGGGCGCGTTGTACAACATGATGGACACGATACACTCAGATATGGTCCTGTTCAGGACCGAATCCCTCTTTCATATGTCGCCGATCGGATCGTGAGGGGTAGAAGTAGCGAGGGGATAACCCAAATGTCGGTAGACGATTTCCCCGCTGGAGCTCCGATAGGTGATCGTGAGCAAACCCCCGACCATCACGGGCGAGATGGCGTCACCTCAAAACCCAGACGAAGTGCATTCTCGTCATGGAGTGCCAAATCCCCGGATTCAATAAGCTCAATTCAGAATACTCCACAAGCTACTGCCATTGTCGATGGCCAAGCCAGTCGGCCAGGGGAAGTCCAAAGGGATCCGAGTCCGCATTTTGATATCCCGACGGAGTGGGTGGGCATGCACGTTAATACCCCAGCCCCTATAGCACTTAACGGACAATTTGGTCAGGATAGTGATGATCCAACAGACAAAGATCATGAACTATATTCCATGGAGGAAGATTCTGATAGTATTAATAATGATCTTTCTTTAAGCCGAGCGTTGTCCGTGATGATGGAAGAAAACATCCCTGCCCAAGACGAAAGGTGGTCTCCAGATGGATCTGACGAAGACACTAGTATCCTGACACCTCAGGCGGACATGTTGGAGACTCATATGAAACATGAGAGGGAGTCCACCGGGCGAACCCCTGCACCTAACACTAAGAAACAACGTAATGAGGATTATCAACTAACGCTTCGCCGTTAAAGGAAGGCTTCTTCCGTAATGCCACCACCTCAGGTGAGTGGCAACCCACTATTCCAGTTGTTGTTGAAGATGAAGAAATGGTCGGGCAACCGGCTACGTATGTTCAGCTAATAACGCGAGACGAAAAAATGAGGAGCTCTTAAGTGTGCCTAAACCACCAGAAAGTACTTTTACCCGCACCAGATCGAATGCTTCGAGCAGGGGAAGACCCAAGATACCAAGATCGGGGGCGAGGTCTACTTCAAGGAGCAACAGTACAGTTTCTACGATCGAGGCATGTTGGAATCCCAATCCTGGCTGTGCGCCTCAGGCGGAGAGCAGATTGTCCAGGAAAAGCCAACAGGCCTGAAGGCGCATGCAGGAACCCAGCGTGCAGGAATTGCTCGGACGTTTGCAACAAGTGCAACGTACAATGGCTGTGCACAGAGTGTTACCCGATGGATGAGCATAACTGCACGCACCTCCTCATACAGTCTATTCAGGACCAGGCCAGGCTAGCAGAGGCTAACACGCAGAGATAATTTCTGACCAATGAAGCGCAGCTGGCTGAGAGGGCTCGTTTGGACAGAGAAGAATTAATTGCAACTGTGATCGAAGCTAGAAAAGCGTTCGAGGCTGAGCGGATCGCCCTAGCTATGGCTGCTAGAGAACGTGAACAGGCGCTGATAGAACATCTGCACAATCAGACCGATGCCGTGAAATGGCAAGTGGAGAGGGAAGCTGAAAATACATACAGAGAATTATTGACTTCGGAGAGACGGGCCGCAATGATGGCAAACGAAGAATCAGCTGACGTCAATGCGGTTGCCGCTGCCTCTGCGGCGGCCATGATAGAAGGATAACAAATCGCGACAGCAGTGGCGGAACGAGAAAGGCAGGAGTTACAAGAAGAACTCAATGCCGCCAGGCTGAAAGCAGACAACACCCAAGCTGCGGCTGCGAAGATAACCAACCAGAACAATCTCTATCTGGAGAAGCTAAAATCGCATGAGGAAGCCCGATCGTCTCTTCAGCGTATAATGTCGAGCAATGCTAAATGCCCGCCGGCTAAGCCGATCGGGTCGAATATACAACAGCTATCGTCGGCTCAGTCGTCGAGCGTTATATCTGCCCCGTCGCAATTTGATCAGACGACCGTAGCAAATGTGGGAGCAACGACCATGTTGGTGGGAGGTGCAGCACGCCCCCCCCCCCGATGGGGAGGGAAACACGCTTCCCGTGGATCGTCTCTGTGCCATTTGTTTTCGTCTCAAGACAGACAACTGCGTCGGATGTGGTAGATCGGCGCGTGACGAGCATATTGATGCGAACATGAGGAGGTGCTCTAGGTGCGACCTATGGAAGAGTGAAAGGTCAGCGGCTCACATGCGAGAAGAAGAGATTGTTGTGAACGCGGCTAATATAGAGAAAGAACAGATGAGGCTTAAGGCGATCATCACCGACCCGACTCCATATACTGAAGCTAAACGTGAAGTCGGACTTACATCGAAGTCGTTCGGATTTCCGTTGCTCTCGCAAGAAACCCCCGTTCGGCCGCTGTTGCGTCAACATTATTATGTTCCAGGCCCTGCCCTAGAAGGTCCGGCTAAGCCGAGCACCGCCGAGAATGGACTCCCTGCGGGGATGAGGCTAACTGGAATTAGTAAAGATAACACTCTTGCCAATCTCCGCCCAACCTATGGAGATGGCCCAAAGGGAATGACCGCGACTAAGTCGCCGGGCAATGATGGACAGGGCGGAGACGGAGATGACAAGAGCGAAGCTCCCAACAATGAGATCGCTTCTTCGCATGAAGACGATCGTGGTAGAAGACCACGCGGATCGCCTCCGGGAAGTCCAGGGGGATCGGATCCCTCTCATGGTGGGGGTGGACGCAGAGGGCTTCAAGGCCCCGGCGGACCGCACAATTCCATAGTAATTGACGAGAGCACGCCGCTAGATCAATGGAGACAGGTAGGTAACAACCAGAAAACTGATTTGTTGGACATCCCTGATGTTACGAACATTCGTGAGTGGAAAATGCACGCTATACGCGCCATCGCTGGGTCATCGCCCGAGAGTCAGGTAGCGCAGCACTGGATTGCCGAGGCCATGGGTCCGGCCGTGGAGGATGAGCAACTCAAGGAGGCTGGACAATTTCAGCGTCTCGATCTCATGATCGCAACGAATCTTATCGAGAAATTCAACAAGATGAGAAAGAGTCGATATCAGCCTGCTCATCATACCCATTCCCTTCAACAGGTTACTCGCGTGGAATTTAGCGCCCAGGCCGAGGGGGGGCTCGTGACTGGACGCGAGATGGTGCGGGCAATTTGTCACTGGTGTTCTGTAAGATCGGAGTTGGGGCAACTTCGTATTTCACGTGACCTCTTCAAAGTGAAGATAGACCCGCATAAACCTGATGCTGACCTGTATCATTTCTACAATGAATGGACAGATGTGTATCAACAGTTTTATGGCGCCAAGCCTCCGCCCGATGAAATGAGGGCCTCGATTCATGCGCACTTTCTTGAACAACACAGAAAGCCGAGCAAACTGGATTTTGCATGTAAGTTATATGACTTGTCAAAAGACAGAATGGGACAAGGCGCAAAGACTTACGAGTGGCTGATGGAGCAGATCGAAGAAATAATGTTGCGAGAAAAAGAAGAATGGAACATCAGTGTGCATGAGGGAACTTTAAACCAACGCGCTAGGCAAGCGCGATTCGGCGGAGGCGGAGGCTACGACAATCGGAGGAACACGGGCAGCGAAGCCGCTCCGGCAGAGATTGCCGCTACGTTGGGAAAATCCTCGGATGTCATCAAAAGCGGGAAGACCAAGGGCGAAACCACGTGCAGATACGTGAACAAGGGCGAATCCTGCCCGCATGCAGGAAAGGGCTGTCCCTTAAATCACAAGAAGCCAAGAATGCCGCGCCGGCTCAGCCGAGTGCGGGGCGAAAGCCCAGCGCCGCCCCTGCCCGGGATAAGAACCTTAGAGGTAGATCGAAAGACAGGGGCCGAAAGGGGCAGGGCCGATCCCAGACCCCGACTGGAAACCGTGGGAAAGGAGGACAGCAGAAGAATAGAAGTCAGTCACGTGGGAAGGACAGTAATGTTCCGTGTTATGCATATTCCCGAGGTCCCAAGCATTGTCGAGGATCCGAAGACGGATGCTACAAGGCCCATAGAAAGCTAACCGATGCTGAGAAGCTGAAGCGCGATAAGTGGGAACAAGCGAAACTTGACGCTGGACAATCGTTGGGATATGAGCGTGCATCCAAGCAGGCCAATGCCGCTGCTGCCGATATCTCTTCGACGGGAAGCAATGGTGGCTCCAGAGCCACTAGCGCTGACTCATGGGGAGAAAAAAAAAACAAAGGTGGCGGCAAAGGCAAAGACATGGTCTGCCGCTCTTACAAAGAAACAGGAAAATGCTCGCGCGGAAAGGATTGCTGGTTCGCCAAGACCACTCCAGGTCATCCAGTTACGTGACAATGGCTCCACACTGGCGGCTCAGCCGTCAGTCCAGGAGGAATGATAAACATAAGTTTGTTAGTAGTCTTCTTTCTTGCCGTCCTCGTTCGGCAGACGTGGCGAAGCCTGCGTCGGCTGAGCAGAAAACGGGGGGGTTGGAAGAGACCCGCTTATTCAATCAGCTTGGGTGCCGCCGCGCGCCCCGCCCCGTTACTCAGGGGCTTCCCA